CCAGCCTACCCTATATCTAGTAAGAACTAGAACATTCGCCAAAGTTCTAGAAACGTTGCGTCACAGTAGTCATGTGACTTGATGACGCAACATCCCCATCGTAGGATGAAGAGGCCTAGCTAGAACAAGCAGTGATACAGCTGTTTTGTAGGATGAAGAGGCCTAGCTAGAACAAGCAGTGATACAACTGTTTTATAGGATGAAGAGGCCTAGCTAGAACAAGCAGTGATACAGCTGTTTTGTAGGATGAAGAGGCCTAGCTAGAACAAGCAGTGATACAGCTGTTTTGTAGGATGAAGAGGCCTAGCTAGAACAAGCAGTGATACAGCTGTTTTGTAGGATGAAGAGGCCTAGCTAGAACAAGCAGTGATACAGCTGTTTTATAGGATGAAGAGGCCTAGCTAGAACAAGCAGTGATACAACTGTTTTGCCATTTCTGCTAAATATTTCTACTCGACTGCTACACCTCTTCACTTCCGATCCACTTCCCCTGTCTTAAAACAATTTTATTGCAGAATTAGGCTATTGAAAATCCTCGTAGAGATATTGCTCAATTTTAAAGCAACTTTGTGCGTGTTTTCAAGAGAAAAAAGATGGAGGAGTGCAGTCTCCTTGATATAACATGTAAAACTTTTGAGGTAAGACATTTAATGTGCATTACAGGAACTTAAAAAAGAAAGCCCATTATGGAGTGAGAGATCACTTTTACTTGTAGACTTTCACCGGATTTGCCAAACTTTTATCAAGGGCAGAGCTGGATATGTAATTTATCTATCAAAAAAATTAGCCAAATTACATATCCACTTAATTTATGTGAATGGTCACAATATGGTGGACAGAAAGCATGAAAATACCGATCACATGCCTCCTATAGGAGCAAGAGATATGCGAACACTAATATTAAGCTAAGAGGATTAAGATAACAATAAGAATTGTAAAATTAAATACTTTTTTTTCTCCCGCAAGGCATATCATTCTCACTATGAGTGAATCTTAGTTGAAAACAATACAACAACTGCACAAACATATTGTAAATTCCATGATCATAAGACATTTCTAACCACTGTGTTCGGCAATAACGGTACCGCTAATTTCACATGAATATTTTGTAACAACTGCATAACTTTGTTTCGGGTAAATAAGTTTTTGTTTCGTGTCAGCGCAAACCTACATAATAAACTATCTGTGGGTGTACATGGTTTTACCAAAAAACGTTTCGATTGACTCTGATCGCACAACATCCCACGTCTTATCCCGTGACTAACATTTTCCCTACATCTCATGACATGCGACATACTGAATGCTATTATAATCTGACACACGACGTTCCACTTGTTATCAAATGACTCGCGACAGGATAATAATTACCAGATTAACGAGATTCCCACTGTCCCTATCTACTATCTAGCGAAACCACAGCCAAGGGAACTGGCTTGGAAAAATCAGCGTGAAAAGAAGACCCTGTTGACCCATGATTCACTCACCAGAAGCTTTTAGTCAGAGATGAGACAATTTCCACCAAGTTGTAAGTCTGTAAACTAACCGCTGATCCACTAGGTGGCCAGGTTTGTTTCTTTACCGAATTTTGCGCAGATACTCGATGGTTATCTGTGCTAGCCGTCTCTACTTCAGAAATGATGTATTAGAAAAGCAGCTAGTCAACACCACCCACAATTGGACTACTAACTACCAACGAATAGTGGGACTAAGTGTAACATAATAAAGCCCCACGGCTGAAAGGGCGAACACGATCGGTGACGGGATTCTAGCCCACGACCGGCAGATTGTGTGTCGAGCACCCTCACCACCAGGCCCTAAGAGTGCCAGGTAAAGAAAGTACGAGAGAATGAATTACTGCATCAACCACATGTATAAAATAAACCAGCTTAGCAATTCTCCAGTTGAAGACTGGTAAATATGTAAGTTATTCAAGTTATTCAGCATTTTGCCACTTTTCAGTTGTTAACGTCATTTTACAAATTAATTCGTTAAAAAAAAGAGCGGGAAATATCTAACTATGTATATTTTAACTTGCAAAATATATTCCACGAGCTTATCACATGGCTGTTTTTTTTTTCAATTGTTATTTAGAATTAAAAATAACGGGCAAGGTTTTGGTTAGACCTGAAAAAATATCAAAATAAGCAAAATAACAAGTATTGTTATAATTTGTAACGCATCTGGCCAACACTGCCACGATGGGTTTCAACGTTGTATATGTAACTTGCACCATCAAGACCTTTCACTTTTAGTACCCAAGGTAGCTCACAACGAATGTGTGACTTTAATACCGGGATAAAAATATCATCATATAACTGTAACAAAACTGATTTTGGGTATAAAAGTTAAAATGTTTAAAATACAAAATTACTTTGAATATACGAACCTAGTCTTGTCTCCCGTTGCTACACTCAAGAAACTCAAACTGAAAATACACGTGGTATAGCACGTGATCATTGCATGGTGGATAGCGCGACGTAGTACGTCACCAGCGCATGCTCAGTTAAAGCGTCTGAGTGTTACAGAATCTTCTCGCTAGCAATCGATATTGTTAACAAAAGCAAAGTTGCCAAAATTAAAAGCAAATTACAGCGTGAGCTTCACAATTTTGGATACTTTTTTGCACGTAAACACGTTGTGATCTGTGTAAATATCTATGTTACTCTTGTGATCTTTTAGATGCTCTAAAGCTTTTACGAATAAAATAAGGAAATGTGCGTGAATTTTTTTCTCTCTTTGTTTTCCAATTAAATATTTAGATACAAGTCCTAAGAAGCGGGCAATTTTGTTTCAAAACCCTGACAAGCTAGACTCTGGAATCGTATTTCATGCAGGTGCTTCTGCAATTAAGTAAATAAATTAATTCAAAGCATATTGTATAATAACATACTAATACAGATTGGTATAGACATAAATTTATGCATATAATATAAAAATGAGTCATCACTTTACCTTTATCTTCGAGCAGATTTCTCTCGCATTTCTGCGGGACAAGATCGAGAAGATCTCTTCTGTTATCACAGTGAAACGATCTTCTCTGGCTAAACTACGAAACTAGGATTTTAAAATAAAACGCTAGGGGGAAAACTCGTGCTTCTCGTAATGAAAATTTTTTGGTTTTTGTATTTTGTATTTGAAATCTTAAAATTTATGTAAAGGCAATTCTATGCATATAAAGTAATTAAAACAGTTACGTGACTTGCCTAGACTACATGCGTAAGAAGTTAGGTACCTAGAGTTCAAGATGAATCTAATGATCGTGTGGGGGCATCTCCTTGCCTGTGAAGTTAAACCTATTCCACAACACGAGATACCCACTAAATATTTCTAGTACAAAATACACTTTGGGTCTACCCCCTTGTGGCACAGTGGTATGTATGCGGACTTATACCGCTAGAAACCGGATTTCGATACCCGTGGTGGACAGAGCACAGGTTTGTGCTTAACTACAAAAAACAAGACAAAAAATTTTGAGCGGAATGGTGTGATGGAAATAACAAACTGAGCGACTTATCTAATAAGGGACGTCAGATCTAGCGGCGCTTTCAAACCTGGTTATCGGGGGGGGGGGGCACGTATTAAAACTTAACTGGGTGACGGTACCGGTACTTTAAGTGCCTGCAGACAAATGAAGAAATTCACACACAAAACCTTGACACATAAACACTGCTGTCTGAGATGGGGTTCTGAGGGATGAAAGATCCATTCCCCAAATACTTTTCCCTTTGCAATGCATAGTACTCTCTACACCCACTCTTCCCTTACGCATATGATGACGTTGTTTGTACTTCCCTATTCCTAATTTCATTTTTGCATAAATTAAAAAAGTTTAAAAATGCTTCTCATGCACGCACATACGTTATTGTTCTAATTATATAGATATACTAGAATCTCATCACGCTGGTGTTCAAACGTATTTTTTTTTTTTGTATACCGTATTGTAGTTTATCAGTCTGTTTTTCTTTCACTGTAAACTCTACAGATGACATATGCTAACTTAACACACGGTTTCTATGGTAACAGCAGGGAAGCATATTCAATCGGAAACTGCTAGAGATAGAGGAAAGATAACATTATGTACTGTGACAGGAAATGCCCGTTCTAGAATAATCAAGACATCGTTACGTATGCTTCTACGGACAAATGACGCCTTTAACTGCATATAAAACTCTCAGACATGGCCCGAGATATGAAGATAACTTTTTTTAAGGATCTGAGAACTTCATTAACCAGTATGCCACATAAAGTTCCAGAAAATAGAAAACGTTCAGTTTCACCGACACTGTGTATATAGACTAATCAAGGTTAAGTCCGTGTTGGTAGGTTTCAAAGTGAATGCCAAGGTAAACCCAGTTACAATAACCTTGGAAATAGTAACAATGTGATAATTGAGCAATATCGTCGTATTTTGTCCATACACAACTTACCTTCATTCAAATAAGTATTTCTAAATTTTCATGTAGGCGTTCGGTCTGTAGACAGTGTCATCCTTGTAAGTCAATGGAGAAATGTCCTCAATTTGCACTGACAAAGGTTACACTATACAAGGCTTATTTCACAGACTTATACTTGCGTGGCCCTGTTTCTATGTCATGCCCTCCTGGAGTAGGGTTATATTCATTCGAAGGCGTGATATAGAGTCTTTTGGAAATTGTATGAGTTGGGGGTTTATCTTTTTTGAATATGTTTTATAGGAATTAATATTGGCATAGGTAATTTAAGGTTTTTGAGATACCTGATTTTACCTGGTCTGACTTAACAGAGTGGTGCTATATTATGCTTGATCCTGTGGTTTTCCTGTGCGAACGTGATCCTGCTTTGCTCCAGAAGTAATCCAGAAGCTGACCAGTAAGTTGGAAACATACAGTTTACACTTTAATGTCAATATTAATTTTGTTTTCTGCATAACATATCTGGATCCTTTTTTTATGGACACTTGAAACTTGAAATGTACCCAAATAACACAGGCTAAATTATCAGGTTACATTTTAATGCCATAACCAGAGTTTATTTTCGATGTGCTTCTTTTTCCATTTGACCCTCTGGTGCTGTAAAGTTTATAAACATTATTATTAGGGAAGAGTACTTTCTGAGGTTATCCACTGCACACAAGGATGTTAAGAAAGAGGTAGCGATACTGTTGAATGTGTAAGTGATATTCTATGGTGCATTACATATGAGCATGTTGGTAAAGAGGTAGTGATAATACCAAATGTGCAAGCAATATAACATGATTTATTGCAAATGCAATCCAGTGTGAAGTCGCCATATTGCTGATATAATAGAATTGGTGGACTAAACATATTGTTTTCTGTCTGTAATGCAGGCTGCACTTGCTCCAATAGTTTATGAAATGTTGTATATGCAAGACTGCTTACTGTAAGCGTTATTATTTAGTTTATTATGTGGTTGAATATTTAATGATTGTTTAGTTTTTAAGACAGGACTGTTAAAGATGGATTGTTTTAAAAGTGTTAGTTGTGACAAATTTCGTAACGTAACTCTGTACGAATCGTACGTTGTGTTTGCAATTACATTTATTAAGATTGTTGACGTTACCTTAACTGAGTATTGTTACATTATAGCGCTGCTCGCGTAATTTGACGAAAATTCGAGGCCTCCGTGAACAAGATATATATAGGTGGCTCGCGAGCGCAAGTTAAATAGTAGAAAGTAAAGTGAAGTCAAGTGAGAGGTAATTAGACAGATCTAAATTGAGTGATTTGGCAGTTTAGCCATGTTGGACGATTTATAAAAAAAAAAAGTAGAGGAAAAGTAAGTAAAGTTCAGTCAGTCAAAAGTTAGAAAACGTGAAGTTAGCTGGCGTTTGAGTGATTAGCCATAACGGGCAATATTTTAAAGTGAGTTTCACAGTTTAGTAGAGATAAGGAAAATATTTTATTTTGCAACGGTTGTTCTAAAGTATTTAAACCTGCCTGTGTGGACTTTAAACAAAAATGAGACAATTATTTAAGGTTGAAGATACAGCTATGGTATTCACTGATAAAATAGGAGAAAAATAATTCGCCTTGTCAACTGGATTCTAAAGTAATTGAATCCGCCTGAGTGGACTTTTGACAAGAAAAGAGAATTATTTAGAGTTTTAGATAAAACTGTGATTTCCCATAGCGTAAAGAATTTTTGTACATACGTTGGACTTATTTTGAATATATTATTTTAAAACAAGTGGATTGTGTGCTGTCCGTTTATTGTTCGAATTTATCGCCAACAAGTCACAGACACCTACTGTAGAAAAATCCCAGCCCACATATGCATAAAAACCTGACATGAAGTGTTTTTTTAATAACCTTTTATGTTTTTAATTAAATGCCCGAAAAAGAAACACGTAAAAAATGTGATTATTTCAGTATATTTTGAGTATATTTTAATGTATTATATATATATATAATATTGTTATGTCTCTGTTCGTTTGTTAATTTCCCGTAGAAATTCTTTCCGAGAAACTTCAGTGATACAAGTCCTTTCTTAAATAAAACTAGTTTATTCTTTCTCAATACAACTTTGCAATACACTTAATTTCCACAGTTACTTTAAGTTAAACACACGCACGATAATTCACAACGAACGATTCACGCAGTTTACTTACTACCGCGCTTGAATAAATTGTCCTTCTCT